CTGACTCAAGATTTCCTCAACCTTGCAGCAACCTGTTTAAGTTGACAGGTTGTTCTGAGCAGTGTGAGGAAACAATAGATGCCATCCACTGTGACCTTGCCCGATGTGCCCATGTCGGTGCAAGGGGTCAGTGGCATGGCACAAGTGAACACACTTGAGGAACAATTTCTTGTTGACAATTTGGGAGTCACACCTTTGCAGCTTCTGCCGGCTCTTGCACAGACGTCCTCAGCCTTGCGAAAACCTGTTGGTGTTGCCGGGCTCTCACCCGAAGAGCCATCAAGTTTCCTTGCTTGGGGACACAAAGGCCAGCCATCTAGTGTGACCTTGCCCGACGTGCCAATGTCGGTGCAAGGGGTCACTGGAATGGCACAGCTTCCGGTTGCTCTGTTCACACACCGGCTTGGACAGAAATAATACTACATTTTTTCATGGTTTTCTCAACAATTTTCAGTGTCTGCAAATCTCCAGTTACATTAATTCTGGACAAACCTACCGTGTCGTAACGTATCCAATAAGTCTTTGTTCAGGTTGACTTCTGATTTTGATAACTTTGGTTTTTGCCAAGCCCACTGATCCAGCCCCCGCGGATCCAACCCTACAAACGAGCATATTGAACAATGGAATGTCTGTCTTATGGCAGGTTCCAGCCATAGAGATGGATCGAAAGACAAGCCTGAACCCGGGTTAACTTGCTGGCAGAAGCCTCGAAATCGAGCACAGCTCGCAGGACTTCGCGGCATTCCCGAGTGGCCTAGTCGTGCTGGAAAACCTGGGTTCGCTCAATGTCGTCGTTTCTGGTCTTCAGAAGCTGGTTGCCGCTCACTTCTATCCTCTGTTATCAGGTCTGCTCGCTTGATGGCCAAGACGGATATCAACACTGTCCTCGTGGATGCCGCGGCCTGGTTGCATCCGTTTGTTGGGCAAATCTGCTTGGGTTCAGAATTCCAGGAGCGAAGGTGGACGTTATCAGGATATTTTCTGGAGACACTTGGCTATTCCCTCCACGCAATAGCCGACAGCTCGACAGAACCCGACTGCTGTCCGGAAGTCTCGAGAACCATGAGATCCTGGATTGGATGCATCGACAAACCCTGGGATTGCTGCCCTGGGGCCATGGTCTGAATCATTGCCATTTTGTTGGACTGAAGTTTCATGAAAAGCTGCCAGAACCCAGGCAACTTTCAGCTCCTGCAAGCAGCTTGCCTTCATTATCTTCAGTGTTTCGCGTCTCCTGCCCGTTGCAAGCCGGATCCAGTAGCGCATCTTCCTGAGTCTGAGCGGCGGATCTCGAGCGCAGGGCGCCAACCGGGCTGCACCCACGAGCGAACCCCAGTTTGGCGATCCCCAGGCTCGGGGTACAACTCGGCACAGCTACAACCTTCAGGCAAAAGCCTCAGCAGGTAAATGCATGGCGCCCAAGCCTCAAAGTAGGCACCAGACAATGAAGGTGCCCCAAACCCCAGCTAGATCTGATCTACTGGCCTGTTGCCCCGCGGCTTCGGAATGGCAGCACTTTGCAACAAAGTCGGGACTGGGAGAGGTCAGTGCAGATGACAGAAACCTGTCAGACCCGACAGGCCGACAGGACTACGACAAATTCGGGGCAAAGTCTTGTGACATCCGAGGCGGACATTGGCCTTCGAGTCGCTGGGAGAGATCTCAGTCAAAGGCAGGATGAGAGCTAAAAGGCCACAAACTTGGACGGTTCTGTCAAGAGCAAGCAATCTGTGTCAGATACACTTTGGAAGGATGCAATAGTCCACACATGACGTTGCACATGACTGTATGACACAGGCAAGCAGGAACAGATCCAGGTATACCGCTTCACAGGAGCCGCCGACTCGCTGTGGTCTACACTTTATGTGTTGTCCATGTGCTGCTCAGTTGAAACCTCGATAGCGTGACCCCGGAAAATGTGGCAACATAATTCCAAGCATCCTGATCACGTGTGCATCTGTGAACACAATGCTTCTTCTGGATGCGAAAGGAGATCTTCTACCTCGTAGAGACCGTGATCGAAAAGGCTTGCGCTCATGCGAGCGACACATTCCTTGGGTCGCAAGGGTCAAGCCCATTCGTGGCTCAATCCATGCCGTATCATGAGGACCGTAGCCGTGGCATTTTGGTGTAGAGGCGTTCGAACTGCTGTTCTCTTTCAAAACAGGAGAGACGAAAGCCCTGATGAAACAACGGCTCGACAAATGTGGAGGTCTGCAGCGGTCGCTGCTTTCTTGGGAAGAATGGCCTGCTCGGGAGGAGCTGAAACACCATTGCGGGGCTTTTGTTGATTTTTTAGCGGCGCAGCAGCTTCCATTCAGCAATGGTGCGATTGACTCGGCTTGCGAACGCGGAAGTAAGAATCGGGAGCTGATCTTCATCAGCTCATTGAATGTGATGATTCATATATGCGGAACAGTTTTCGAACGTTTGTCGTGGGCTTGAGTGAATGCACTTGAAAAATACCATGCAGACAGACAGTGTACACGGTTTCCTTGAGAACACCAGGGCCGGACAGGAGAGCCAGCCGAGAGTTTCCACGTTGACGTGGTGATTTTTCACTGGATCATGACGTCACACAACGTCGCAAGTAAATGCCCAGAGCTGGGGAGGAGCTGATGGCTGCCTTGGAAGCACAGTTGCAGCACCAACCAGGCCATGGGACCATTTATGCAGTGCTCTAGGCTGCAATCTGCTCGACATGATCTGCTTCTTCTGTTCAGTACCAGAAGGCAGCAAGGGCTCAGCAGAATTCGCACGTTGAGATTGAACGCAAAGAGGAGGTCATTTCCTGGCAGCAAGGAATTGGAGCCACATGCTGTCAATGGGATTCAATGTATCGTTGTTGAAAGCGAAGCAGGCGCTACGACGCCCTATCATATGCCAGAAACGTATTCCTGCCGTTCGGAAAAGGTTGTATCAGTGGCACGTCTAAGCACCTCCTATCACCTCCTTCAACAACGTACTCCGGGCTGTTGGAGGAGCCTGCAGCACAATCGTTGTAGAGAATGCTACACAAACTCCTTCGATCTGCTTGCGGAGTCTTGCATGATACCTAAACTCTTAACTACCTGTGCCCGTGTCTGTGTCCGCAACTGAAAAAAGCTGTGCAAAGCGAAAGCAACAGAACAATACACAAAACACTCCGCCATCCCTCTTATCTGAGACTCTGAGAACGCCCCAAAGCCGTCAAGGGCATTGCAGCACTGCTTCCGAAGGCCCCGGTGGCCTCGTGTTCGTCCATGGCGGTCCAGGCTGTGGCAAGACGGACGCTTGCCTCGATAATAAGTTCCATTGGTGTGTTCGGTTCCTTCTGCAGGAGGGCTGCGTATGAGGTGCAGGGCAATGGGTGATCAACATTTTGGCGTCACATGCACCTTCTTTGAGCTGCCTGCCTCGGTATGACCTCAAAAGGGCTTTCGGGGTTGAAGCTCCGTTGAGATGCGGCGTGCTTTACAAATGTGACGTAGGAGTTAAGCATCGGGAGTTCTGCACACTCAAGCTGCGATTGTTGTTCGTGCCAACAGTTTGCAAGAAGTAGTAAGAACTCCTGCATGGCTAGATTGTAGATGCCTGTCTACCTGCAATTCTCCTGACCCTGCCTTGCAGAGCCGAGCCTCAAAGCGGATCTGAGGAGCTTGCTGCTCATGTGCGGGCGTGGGCATTGGAGCAGGAACTCTGTGTCCTCGCAGGCCAGGCCGCCAGGCCGCCAGGTCAGGAAGGGAAGCGGGCTCTCCAGTTCTGGCATCGACAGGCCAGAATCAGAGTCCTACAGGGACCTTGGCGGTGCCGCGGCTCTGCTGGCAAGAGGCAATCGCTGAGATGAGATCCCTTGCACCCACAGCTATGTAGAGTCCATGCAGAAACTTCCTAGGCGTGTGCTTCAACCGCCATCACATGTCATACTCACCATTGCAAACCCCGCCCCCAAAATCATATTGTCCGTGGTTATTTGTGTCCTGCGCGGTGTCATTCTCGTTTGGTGATCGATGCCCGAGTTAGCCAGCGATGTTTCCGTAAGATTCTTGTGGCCAGGTGTTTGCAGAGATGTTGAAGGCTGCGCGCAGCGATCCGCACCCTGACGGCAGGAAGCCCGTATGCTGCTCAGGAGTTAACTACAGCCGGAACAGACCAACCACGCTGGCTCCAAAGCTCGGGAGTCTTGTCAGGTGTCGTTTTAGGTTCAAAGCTCCGAGAGACCTCCGCGGCGTTGTTGCACTGTGCCCAGGGCGTGGAATGACACGGGAGATCACGTGCCTTGTTTCCGCAATTGGTGCGTGCCACAAAAGAGGAGGAAAACGTTGGAAACAAGCGCAGCAGTAGCAGCAAGCAACAACAAGCAACATCATTGCATCATTGACATGCCGAAGTTCCAAGACTTCTAGCTGCTCTCGCTCCAGCTGAGGTCACTGATCGAGAGATCATCCGACGCATGCTCCTCTCAGCCGGAGCGACACGAGAGCTTCTTGCATTTTTGCTGCAGTCACAGCCAGAATCTCTTTGGGCTACAGGTAGCATGTTGGCGGATTCATAACAACATTCGGCAGCAGGAGCCCTGTGGAAGGAGTAGTCTTAGAATAGACGAAGCTGCGAGGGCCCTCTGCCGCTGGATGCTGTTGTCATGATACAATGATACTGGGACCCGGAATCGGCAGCACTTGCAAAGTTCGATTCTTTGCTGAAGGCATGGCTCCCAGTCCTGCGCTTGGTCTTCCCTGCACTCTACTTTGGGCCCAATGCCGCTTGCCATAAAGCTGTGCTGCAGCATCTGTCGGCCTTCAGAGACCCGCGATCGTAAGGTTGTGAATGCCATGGTGGAGCGAGATGCATTGCATGCCAAGACGCGGCCGCTGAAGGTTGCATGCAGCCAGACTCAGTACAGACATGCGGCCAGTTATGAGCAAACTGGTCAACTGGTTATATCAAATCATTCGACGAATTCATCTCCAAAAATGTTTGCATGTGTTGACAGCAAGCAGCAGGTGGTCACTTTGTGCAAGATGCTCGTGGATGCATTCACGACCCACTCCACGAAGAGCCAGGGTACCGTCATCCTGCACCTTGTCAAGATCACTCTTCGGGTGAATGGGCAGCGTGTCTGTGCTATGTTAGATTAGGCTTCATCTCCGGCGCTCGACGTCGTTCTTCGGCGAAACGACGGCGGCTGTGCTCAATTATCATTGCTCGCATCTCAAGACTCAAGACCCGAGTTTACCGAGTGCAGTCGACAAAGGACTACGATGGCAATCTGGCATCAGCCTGAGCTGTTGCAGCAGGAACCCTGTTGGTCTTCTTCAACGGGCAATGCCTAGTTCGAGTGTAATTATTCTTGTCAGGGGCGACATACGGCGGATATCGGCAGACTGGTCACAGGTCATAAGGACGGATGGATGGACGAATGAATGGTGGGGTGTGACGTGCATGGGTCAGGCGCCAATCCCCCGCCTTCGCAGCCCTTGTGTCGGGGCTCCATTTGGAGTTCAGCCTCCCGGCGCCCCCGACAAAGGCATCCAGCAAAACCGTTCAAGCACGCCCATCCTCACCATGATCAGCGCCCCCCCTCCCAAAAGTTTTTGTCTGCTCCTGGCAGGGGTATGTTGAGCAAGACAATCGTGATTCCTTGTCGGGTGCACTATCCCAGTCATACACCGGAACACCCCGACCTGCCAGACGGAATCCCCCGACTCACATGCTATCGTTTATATGCACCCGAAAAGTTGTGCTGAGGCCAACACCTGTACAAGTAGTCACTGCATCCCTTCAGTATCGATGGCCCAAACTCAAGCCGGCAAACTTTCCTGCCGGGCCGTTGAACGGCGGCCTCTGCCGACTATGTCTTTGGCAGCTCAAGAGCAGTGCCGACTGCCAGCGTGCCGAGGTGGAGGGGCTCATGAACTTGTGCATGGAACGTCGCGAGACTGGGAAGAAACCGGTAACTTGGCATGGCCCTTTCAGAGAAAGAAGTTCACAAGAGGATTTTGACATCCCCGAAGTTGCTCCAGGAGCCAGTTCATGTTAAGAAAGGGTTATCAAATTGCTCATGGCACCCTGGACTGCCGAGCCTAGGTGATGCTGTGCGTTGTGACGCGGGAAACCATCTTGCAATCACAGGCAGGGGTTAAGGCGTGCAAGCCATGAGATCAGGTTTGGTAAGTTGTATCCTGACGTGTGCGGCTGAAGAGCCACGGTGTTTCGATGCGCTCTGTGGCTTGGGCTCACAGATGCGTCTGCTTCCTTGCTGAGACCTGCTTGCGCCTTCACTCCGACAGCTGGCTGAGGGCACTTGCTTGAAAGCCGCCATAGCCTCATGCTACGTGTTCTGCCAGGACTGGTGCGAAGTTCCCGCACCCACACAGTCAATAGGCATTTGCTCCGATGTAGCTGGCGTGCATTTTCCGAAGGGAGTGACCGAGAATTGGTAAGCTTGCAGACGTCAGGCCACATCGCCAAATTGACTTTGCAGCGTCCACAAAAGCTGAACTCTCTGTCGCTTCCTATGATCAAGGATCTGAAGCAGAAGTACGCACATTTGAAGCCCGCTGGAGCTCGTTTCTTGCTGCTTGCTGGTGAGGGCCGAGCTCTTTGTGCTGGTGGCGATGTCGCCGAAGTGCGGCAGGGAGTCATTGATGGAACGAGCTATCCCGCGGAGTTCTTCTCAGAGGAGTACGAGCTGGATTATCAAATAGCAACTCTTTTTGAACGAGACCATGTGGTTCAGGTATCCCTTTGGGATGGTATTGTAATGGGGGGCGGCGTAGGCCTCTCGTTGCACAGTCCGATCCGAGTTGCGACACAGAACACTCTTTTTGCAATGCCGGAAACTGGCATCGGCCTTTTCCCAGATGTTGGTGCAACATGGGCATTGAGCCGACTGCGTGCTGGCGCCCATGTGGGCATGTACTTGGGTCTCACAGGCGAGCGCCTCGGCGCTGCAGACTGCCTCTATGCTGGCCTTGCTACACACTTCTGCCCCGCGGAGAAGCTGCCTCTCTTGGAGAAGCAACTCACCAACCTGACAGCATCACAGGCGAGCATAGAAGAGGTCTCGAGCATCATTGATGAAGTGGCCGCAGGGGCCGTCCCAGACACCGACAAGGCAAAGTTGGAGGCTAACGCAGCCGCCATAGAGGACTGTTTCGGTGATCTGTCTAGAAGAGCCGAGGAGATAGTCTCGCGGTTGGAGTCCCACTCCTCGAGCTGGTCACAAAAGGCTTTGAAGACGCTGCTGTCCAAGAGCCCATTGTCAGTGAAGGTCTCCTTGGAGGCCCTTCGCAGGCATCAGGCTGTATCTTTAAAGGAAGCCTTCATCGCCGAGTATCGCTTGTCTCAGTGGTTCATGCGGCCGGCACCTCACAGCGACTTCTGTGAGGGCATTCGTGCTGTGCTAGTGGACAAAGACCAGAGCCCAAAATGGCAGCCTGCAACGTTACCGGAGGTACCGAACCAGCAGGTGGAGCAATTCTTCGAGCCCTTGCCAGCCGATCATGCCTGTGGCGAGTTGAGGATATGAGTTGCTCCGCCACTTGTCAGGCATGCCGCAGCACCCTAGCAGCGACGATGGAGACAGACATTGCGATACGTTGCGTGCCACCGTAGAATAAGGACCACAGCCCTGCCTTCCATCATGCCACGTGTCGCTGCGTCGCTTGTTCGTGGCTAGTTTGCAGATTTCATCTTGATCAGGCCTTCTTTCTGAACTCGCGGAATTTGAACGGCGAAGTGCAGGCAAGCAATCTGTCCCGGGTCCAGACCTTAGCCTGAGGGGTGGCTACCTGTAATTTGATTGTGCTCAATTGCTGGCTAGTGAGGCTTTCGAAGTCATCGTAGTGAGGTTTTCGGGTCCGACTCTTGCAGCGGTTTGCATGTGTTCGATGTCGTGGAGCCATGCACTCTTCCTGGCTCTGCACACCACGCTGTAGGACATGACGGAGAAATATGTTATGCACATCACCGGAGCAGCTGCCGGCGTGGCACCCGACTTGCTTCAGTACGTGTTTGCATCTCGTCTCTGTCTGAAGTTCCAGGGTTTACGGTATCTGGCTAGCCGCTTAGCTTCTATAGAATCGAGCACATTAAAATCATTAAGATTCAGGGCCGTTCCGATGTTTCACGTGAGTACTTGCTGTAGTGCAGATATCAGAAATGCTTTCGCTGGAGCCTGGTGCCTGCCGTGTTGTTGCGGCGCGTCAGCATCACTGATCACCTAACTACAACTGGGCACCGGCGTGATTATGCGGGCTGTTCGGCAGAATGCGTCCAGCAGACCAGTCAATGGTTCATGCATGGCAAAGGAGGCAAAGGTTGGTGGGAAAAACCCGAGCCGAAGACAGTGCAGTGCCATGCAGTGCCCAATATGCCCACCCGACCCGAATCTCCAACTTCCACACTCAGGAAAGCTCCGGCGGAAATCCGTTCGGCGTGGAGGTGGTCTTTCTTTATAACTCTGAAGCCATAGAGTCCACAACACACCTTCTGCATGGAGTGTTGTTAGCTGCAAGTCGCGGAAGCTTGCCAGAAAATGCTCGAATCTGCAGCTGCTACTGCGTCATCTTTAAGACTCTGAGGTGCGCTGGAGCTGTCGCAAGCAAAGCTTACGCTTGTTAGGCTCTGATGTCGAGGCTCCATGGACGTAGAACCCCCACATTTTCCACCATTCCTTTAAAAGTCCTGATTGAGATTTTGTGACGCTCGGAGTCCCAAATTTTGGGAGCACCATGCTCAGCGGCAGGTGGTCCTCCAAGAACTGCGACAGGGCGGAGCTGTGCAGGTTTCCGAAGAGGCCTGCAGTCACAGGTTTCGGGCCAGAAGCTTCCATGCGCGGCCCGGAGCTTCGGATGCTTTGGCTCTGTATCGCAGTTGCTTCCGAGCCAAAGAAAACAGTTCAAAAACCACCAGTCGCCAACGAGATTGCAGGGATTCCTAGAGCTCTCCGATGGCGATGAGGCGAACCTGTCACAGCTGGAGACTCCGCAGCAGACATTGGCCCACAAGCCCGAAGTTGAATCTGGTGTTTACCAACCGGAGAACCTGGAAAAATGGTATCGTGCTGCAGCCCTTTTCATCACCCCGATGGAGTATGCATATGTACAGAGTCCTAATTTTAGACTGACCGACCTAGAAGCTTGAGCGCCGCGCGCGCGTGATACTTGCAATGCAGCTGTGTTGCAGAAGGGTGGAGGCATAGTCGACACAGACTTTCGACAAACACCATTGGGAAGCTTCGAACAAAGTCTTCCCGCCCATGCTGATGCTGCCCAGGCATATCCAGAGTCGTTGATTGGCATTGCTCTGGCCTCCTGGGAGAAACTGCTTCCTCACCAACAGGACTTGGTACGCCGGCTTTCATGGCATTTGAGCATGAAGAAGCATTGTCAGAAGCTCTCGTGCTTTTGGGTTGCTTCAGTTGTTCGGAGTATATGTGTCCAACATGTTGTCGAGAACGCACACCTCCTGAGTGCCCGCCTCTACCAGCTGCCACCGCTGCCCCCTTCACTAACCCCAGCACAGCAACCATGCAACCACCACGACCGACAACCAACAGCAAGACCTCTATCAGATCGACCGCCACGACCGGCATCAGCCGCAAACGCTTCAATGATGCAGACAGGGTCATACCATGAAGTGATGGCACTTGGGTCTCCTTCTCAGGTGAAAAATGTGGCCATGTGTAGCCAAGAGGCAGACTGCGAAGTGTTGAACATCCTGGACCTGGCAGAGAGCTTCGGCAGCTCATCATTGGACTGCGTTCACCATGCTTGCATAGAATGCGATATGCAGTTTCACGAAGATTCATGTACTGTTGTTCTTGAGACCACTTCCAAGTGAACGTATTGTGACGAGTCGGACGGTCGGCCTCCAGTAGAGTTTTCAGCAGAAGCCCGTAGATTTCACAGTTCCCGAACGCGCTTATGCACTTCTTGATACCTCTTGCAAGTGTATGAGTGCCCTTACCATCCCCGGCCAACACTTTACCGGAGAGTACCTGACACTGAAGAGCTCAGGACGTTGGAACTCGAAGAAGAGCAGCTACGAGAAGCATGCAGCAATCTGGTAATGCAAGGCCGCTGCATGCACCAGATGAGAACCTCGCACTTCAAGACATCAACACTTCTGGCGCCACAGTTCTTACGTCCGGAGCTCGCTTACTCACACTTGTTCCGTTCCGTTTGCTAGAACTGCCAGGATTTTTCCGGCCGCAGATGCCGCTGCCAAAGCGGATGACTCGCCGCGCCCTCCCTGATGGGCCAAGTCCAGCAGGCTGGAGAAGTACATTGCATGATCCAGCTGAGCTCGCAAAAAGTCTTCGCTGTCTCGGCCTTGGTCGCATCGCTCGAACTGGGTCAGATGTTCTGTTCAACAGCAAGTTGCAGAGGAGTGCGCACCTGTCATCAGAATTCAGAAAACGCGCAAACAGAAGCGTGTCGGTGGGATACCCCTTTGGTCGCTAGCTTAGAGGATACCTTGGAGGAGTACTGTTGTTCATGCACCCTTCCGGGTCCTGGCTTCAACTTCGTGCTCCAACTGCGAGGCGGAGGCCGTGCCTCCACCACTCCCAGCAGTGGCAGCTTGGCAATGGCCTGTCCAAGTTATAAGCATGTTTCTTCCTGTGACGTCTTCCTTTTGTTTGTCTGCACGCTCAGCCCACGGGTTGCCCAAAATGTCTTGATCTGGAAGAATCTGGAAGTCTCCCGAAGACACAAGCGCCACAGATGCTCTTGCAGGAGCTACTGGTACTTGTAGCAAAAAGGTCTACGACTCTGTTTACGATTGCATCCAGACACTAGACAGGACAAGCCCTAGAAGGAACATGTTCGCGCCTGCCAGAGGAAGCTGCGGTGAGGTCCTGCAAACTGCAGTAGCATCAGTAGCTTCGGCTTGGCGGGAAGCGGAAACCCGTATCCCCAGCCGAGCAGTTTCGAGCTTCGTACCTGGAGCAGATAGTGGCCAAGGTCGCTCGCCGGCTTCTACACGAGCTGGAGTCAAAGCACCTTCCGACATGGATTCCTTACAGCAGCATACAGGGCAAAAGGATTCTTCAGGGCTGCGAATGGATGGATGAAAATGCCTTGGGGATGCCCCAGAAAGGCTCGCGTCAGAGGGCGATTTTGGAAGCCACTGTTGCAATCATGCTTGTGGCTTCCATGTACCATGGTGTACCCCGCCTCCCGACGTTTCCCCTGCCTACAGAAGCCACCTGCCGTATTCTCCCAATCCAGCAATGCAAAGAAGATGGAACCAAAACTCATGTTTGCTGCAGCTCTTACCTGCTTAGCTGATGCTTGAAGCGCTCCTTAGCAAAAAACAATAGGGAACACCGTCACAGCCGAGGAGCTCGCAGCGATCTCCTTCAGTTCGCAACTCCTGCGGCATGTGGCCAGGGCCTTGCCGACGGAAGGTGGTTGTTGTTTTTTTTGTTTTGGACTGCCGATGTGCTTGAGAAATATTTTCTCCGAGAAGCCTTTCTGGCTTTATGTTATGGTACTGGTGCATCCATTATGTGGCTAAGAGGCGTAAGCCCGAGACCCATGTTTCGTGTTGATGCTGCTTGCTCAGTTCAGGCGGAATATATACATGCTTCGGTAGAGGATGTTGCGCTTTACGCGGGCAGCAGACATCGACGGTGCAGTCTGGCAACATCTAGCAGCGGGATGCAGCTGGGCAGAAGGTGTGATGAACGGCAAAGAAAGTCTCCCTCAAAGACAGGCTCACATAGAAGGCCGTTCAGGGAGCTTGTCTGACAGACTAGCAAGCTGTTCGATTCATGCATTTCGGTTCGACTTCAGTGAGCAACACTCTTTGTCCCCACAGTGGACCGTTTTGAGGTCTTGTCTTTGGTTCTGCACTCGCAAAAAGATGCTTGGCTGAAAGTTCGCGTTGATTTCAAATTCTACCGCATTGGCGTATCAGCATGTCACATCATGAGACATTTGGTGTCGCTTGTCACACTCTCGACTCCGGCATGGTCGCATCAGCCCATGAATTTTGGTAGGTCTTTTCCCTGCAGTGGTCGTACTTGTACTAGTAAGTGGGTTGACTCCAGTTTGGGACCTCGGAGCCTTCTGGCCCCACGGACAAGAGAAAACATGAATCTGAAGCCTGCGGTCGCTTGTATGTCACAGTTGAAGTTCGCTCTGTTGATGCTCAGATGTGAAAGTAAGCTTGGCGAGGAAATTATTCGGCACAAGCTGCCGGACGAAGAGAAGGAGGACAAACCTGTGATGCCCTCAGAATTGGGTTTTCGGTGGATGTCTGCATGCTGAAGAAGTTAGTAAGTTAATCTGTAGGAGGATGTAGGATTTATTCGCTAACGGTCTTTTACTGCCAAGGCACGGCCCCCACGGCCGCGCTTATCTGAGCCAGAGAGCTTGGTTCAGGTGAGTTTGTAGGCCCGTTCGCTGCAGACTCTGCTCGCTCAGGCTTGCCCACACGGCCAGGGTCTGCTTTTGAACCCACTGCTGGTTGTTCTCATGTCAGATTGGAATAGCTGTCGGTGGTCCAAGCTGGCAAACGCACCACCCTCGCCAAGTCGGACATCCTGATTGGTCCGCAGCGAATTGTGGTGTAAACATGCAAATGTGGAAGGCAGTGCTCCCTTCGGACATTTGTTGCGGTGGCTGCCGTAGACCACCATCTAAGATCCTTCACAGTGTCGTTTTGAAAGGGTTTCGATATTCAAGCGTGAGACGTGCAATGACAAAACATGTTAATTTTAACGCTACGCCGCCCGCCTCGGCTGTGTAGCGGCAGGGTGAGGGGGCAGTCGATGTTTTTTTATGCTAGGGCGGCCTAACCCGGTTGTTGATACGAAGTGCGAGGAATGGGTAGGGGAGGGGGGGAGGGGGGGGGAAGGGGGGGGGGGGGGGGGGGGGGGGGGGGGGGGGGGGGGGGGGGGGGGGAGGGGGGAGGGGAGGAGGGGGGAGGGGAGGCCGACAAATCAGGTAAAATGAGGGGAAGCCGGGCAAGGGTGGCAAACGAACGCAAAAAGCGGGTGTCCCCAAACATTTGGACTGCAGGGAGGAGGAACCTGAGCTAACCCCCAAGACGCCTGGGCCTGTGGCCTCGGCGGATATGCTGCATCTGCAGGGTCCTTTGTAGATGATGCAGGGCTGGGGCTTGCTGTTTGGGATGCTAAATTTTGATGCAGGTTTGATTTGGCAGGGATTCCGGAGTTCTTGGCTATGTTCACATCCTTTAGGGCTCACGGTGGCTTCCTTCGCACAAGCAAGGATGCTGTTATTGCACCGATCAGGGCCACCGACCCCCTCTTGGCAGGTGCAGTTGGTAAAAAAGCAGCTGGGATGCCTTGCTGGCTGAGTCTTGGGGCTTGCAGCAACGGGTATTGGGGCAGCAAACGTCACTTCAGCGCCCGTTTTGGGCAGTTCATAATCTGAGTTTACGCTGTGGGTGCACATGCGCCAGCTGTTTGTGGCGACAGGGTTTTCCTTTGGTGTGTTGCCATCGCTTGATTTGGCATCGCCTGCCAGGCTCATCGAAAGAAGCATTGAGTCCGTTTCTCAAACATCCCACGGCATGCGACAACTCTGTGTCGCGACGTGTGTTTGAGATGTTATGGATCACCAATGGGCTTCGATCCAGGGGGGGTACTTCAAGGCAGCATGTTAAGCGTCATGGCTCCCTTTGCCGGTTTCATTTTCTCTACGTACTGCCGGCCTAGCTGACATCAGGCCATGTCGTGAGTATTGTGTCCCACGTGCAATGCATTTCAATTCCTTGTAACGTGTCGTTGCATTCATGTTCATGATGCCAGCACTATATGAAGCTGCACAAGCAAGGGGTGGCGCTTGTGGCAAGACCAGTGGCACAACGCGTAGTGATGCTGTCGGGACACTAAACCAAACACGTATACAGTATACAGTATAAGGAGCACGCACCCTCATGGGCTGCTGGGTTATCTTGAATCAATCTTGAATCTACATGCTTAGCACTGCTCGATGCGGTCATAGTATCGCATGTTGTGTTCTGCGACGCATGCGTGCTATGGCCTGCTTTGTCATGATACCATATGGACATATGGATGTACAGCAGAGGTTTTGTGTTGCTGTGTGGCAAGCTTCGGAAGGGACGGTTGGATGCTGGAAAGAGCGTAGTTTTCAGGCCTGATCATGCGCAAGCAGCAGCGCTTGAAGAATGGTCTGGGCCTCGGGAAGCTCTGACTGACTTGGGAGTCCGAAGTCCACCATCGCATCCTGATGGCATGGCCCTGAGCATTGAACCGTCATTTGCCTTACCATTCTTGTTCAGCGCCTTTTCTCTTTGCCAGGGGTATGAGTTTTGGGTCCAGGGCTTCCGGTTGAGGTGGCCAAGATCCGATGCCTGCAGAGCTGGGCCTGGGCCTGACTTTGAGGCGTTTGCACTCACACTCTGACACTGCCATGCAGGTCGTAGCCACCAAGTCGTCCTGCTGCCAAGGTAGCATCTTCCAGCCTTGTCAGCACCCTGGCTACGCAAACAAGGCAAGCGCAAGGGTTGGGTACCCGAAAACTCTGAGAATCTTTGAGATGAGGCGGGTGAAGTGGCGCTGTCGTTTCAGAGTGTCACGCACGATGCAAGCAGCAGTGACATTGAGCATTCTGGCACTACCAGGAGAATGTCCCCGCAGCCCCTGGCGAGGCCAGAGTAGTCGGTCGACTGCAGTCGAGTCCTCCTTTTCATGCCAGTTTCGTTGGTCCATCAACCGTCGGCAGGAAGCAGTGGTGCCTGGTGTCTATGTAATGCAGGATTGTGCGAGCTTCTCCATGTTAACCAGGTCAATCGGAAGACAGAATTGGAAGATGAGGCCACGAAGGCATCGCACGAGTGTCTTT